AGATATCAATCCAGATTGTCCAACAGCTGAGATTTTAACTCTTTCCTTGTACAGGTAAAATATGGAGGACGTTCAGCAACCAACAGGTGGCTCATTACCTGGTAGTAATTAATGAGTTCTTCCAGTTCATCGGCGTGCACGACGATATGCAAACCGCACATCTGGGCCAAGCGGAATTCCTTCCCATCGACACAGGCAAAGCAAACCTGAGAAGGGAAGAGGGTTGGAATTCTGTTTAGGAAAAGGGGGAAAAATGAGGCATATAGTCTCCAAATTCTGTTGTGTGCGCTAGCTGGAAATCTGAGGAACTGCACCTCAAACAGGAGGGGGGGGGGGGGAGAGAACACAGAATCATAGATGTGGAAGGGACTCAAAGGTCTTCTAGCCCTCAGGGTCAAATGGTTGTGATGGAGCACCCACAACTCCGGGAGGCAAAATATTCCACTGATTAATTGTTCTCATTGTCAGAATTCCCCCCCCCCCCCACCTTATTTCTAGGTTTGATCTTTCTTTAACAAGCTTCACCCGTTACTTCTCCTGCTCTCAGGTTCTTTAGATTGGGGGGTCCCCAACTGCCGGTCTGTGGCATGCCAGAAACTGGTCTGTGCAAACCAGCAAAGGCCCATCCATGGGATGCAGGCAGCATGTGAAACCACGTCTCCTCCGGTCCGCAGAAAAATCTCTCTCCACGAAACTGATCCCTGGTGCCCAAAAATTTGGGGTCCGCTGCTTTAGAAAATAAGTCAATCCCCTCTTCTCTGTCACAGACCCTTAAATACCAAAGGGCAGCTATCAGATAACAGATAATCAGAGTTGGAAGGGACCTTGTAGATCATCTAGTCCAACTCCCCACCCAAGTGGGAGACCCTACACCATTTCTGACAGATGGCAGTCCAGTCTTGAAAGTCTCAAGTGATGGCACTCCCACAACTTCTGAGGGCAACTTCTGTTCCATGGATGGATTGTTCTCCCTGTCAGAAAGTTTCTCCTTATTTCCAAGGCTGAATCTCTCCTTGTTCAGTTTCCATCCATTATTCCTGGTCTGGCCTTCGGGGGCCTTGGAAAATAGCTTGACACTTTCCTCTCGGTGGCAGCCCCTCAGATATTGGAACACTCCTGTCATGTCCCCACTGGTCCTTCTCTTCCCTAGACGAGCCAAGCTCAGTTCCTGTCCCTCCCTAAGCCTTCTCTTTGATAGGCTAGACATACTTAGTTCCCACAACCATTCATCATACGATTTAGCCTCAAACCCCCTACCGCAGGGGTGTCAAACTCAATTTCATTGAGGGCTGCATCATGGTTGTGTTTGACCTGTGGGGGGGGGGGCTGGGGGGGGGGGGCGGCATTGCCAGCTCAACATCACTTGTGTCGTGGGTGCCTGTGGCAGCCCAAGCACTCTGCCAGCGGAAACAGAGCTCGGGTTTGCTGGCAAGAGGGTTGCAGGAGGCTGTCGCAACCAAAAATGGAACTTGGGAGGACCGTGCTCCGTTTTCACTGGCAGAGGCAGCACGGATCAGCCTTCGCTGTTCCCAGGGTGGCCCTGCAGGCCGGATCTGGCTCACGGGCCTTGAGATTGACACCCCTGCCTTATCGTCTTTGTCGCTGAGAGTTGTAATGGCCCGCCTTGGCCGTGAAAGCCAGAGCTGGGTGACTTTGCGCCAATGACTCTCTCTCAACCCAACCCCACTTCACCAGGTTGTTGTTGTGGGGAAAATAGGAGGAGGAAGGTGAGTTGGATATGTTTGCTGCCTTGAGTCATTTGTAAAAATAATAAAGGCGGGAAAATGAATGAATGAATGAATGAAGTATCACTTTTGATCAGGCATTTTCCTCCTTGTTTAGACAACCACCATCTTCTGAGGTGAAACCTGAAAGTTAGACAGGGGCCGCAGGAAGCCCAGAACTCACCTCCTTCCATGTTCTTGTGCTGTTTGCCTTCCGGGCTCCGTCAACCGCTGCCTGGTATTCACCCAAATGAACCAACGTGGAGGCCAAGCGGCCAAAATTGGAGACGTTGTTGTACAGAAGTTTGGCTGCATCGTACATCTTCTCCTCGTAGCAACGATCGCCAACCTATGGAAAGAAGAAGACGTTGGTGGGTCTGCTGTCTATCAGTAAAAAAAGAACAGCTGGAGTCCCCCTGCCCAGCTGTGCCACGCTGACCACCGAGGTGTGGACCCGCTGGGAAAAGCCAGTCTTACATCATCCTGAAGGTACAGACTGGAAGAGTTCTAGTCCACCCTCAGCTGCAAAAGTGGATGAGGTCGGACCACTATTTAATTTACAGGATGGGTATCCTGGAGGAAATTGTTAAGTGTGCCACCTTGAACTTCTGAATGAAAAGTTGGATAAATATATAAAAGATCTTCTTTGATTATGGAGATCTCTAATCAGCTCACATGGTTTGATGCTCTCTTCAACCACAGAAGCTCAGTTGGACTCTTTAAGTCACTGTTTCTCAGCCGTAGCAGCTTTAAGACATGTGGACTTCAACTCCCAGAATTTCCCAGCCAGCCATTGAAGTACAATAGGTCTTAAAAGAGTTGGAAGTACTTAGGTCTTAAAAGTTGCTAGGGTTGAGAAACATAGCTTTCAGACATTCACTTTTACTAAGACATTCAATAAAGGAAAAATGCTATACAGGTAGTCCTTGACTTACAACAGAAAGTGAGCCCAAAATTTCTGTTGCTAAGCAAAAATGTTGTTAAGTCGGTGGCGAGAATAACTTAGGCACAAAATTGGAAAAAAAAAGGTAATATGCCACTAGAGGAAAATGTGATAAAAAAAGATACTAGAGGGTGCCAAGATGGATAAGTTGACCATGGAGATAAAAGACAGAAAGGAAAGAGATTATTATTTGATGTGGAATGCATTGTATGATTGGCTAAATAGTAGATATAGAGATGAATAGAGAACATGAGAATAGGATAATAAGGCAAAGGTTATAGTGGACAAAGATAGATTAAGGAATATAGACAAATGTACAGATAGTTAAGATTTATGTAAAAGTATGTATACCGTCACGGAAGCGTTGCAGTGAATGGAAATGATGTTGTATGTAAGAAAAATTGTTTAATAAAAAATATATATATATTTTTTTTAAAAAGAGTTAAGTGAGTTTTGCCCCATTTTACAGTTGTCAAGTGTCTGGATTTTGATCACATGACCACTGGAATGCTGCAATGGTTGTGTGAAAAACATTGGTAAGTCACTTTTTAAAGTGCCGTCGTAACTTCAGACCATCACTAAACAAATGGTTGTAAGTTGAGGTGTCTTTCTGTATCTACACACGTCAAATTCGTTCAGATTCCAATGCTTCTCCTCTTGCGCAGTTTGGTCTCACTCCAAGCATCTCCCCATTGCCTGCCAAATCTCTCACTCCTCCACCTGACTCCATCACCTCCTCTGCGCTCAGACCATCAGTTGGCTCGGCTCCCACTACAGACCCTCCTCAAAATCCTTACGCTGGGTACCTTAAACTCATTGCCCGAATCATCCCTGGTGTTGAGTGTGTTAAAGCTGCAACTAAACACATCAAGTCTAAGGATTCGGTTGTCCTTGTTTGTTCTACATGTCCCACGAAGAGATCGGAGCAGCAACTACAACTGAACTCCCTCCCTACTTCCTTCTCCTTACAACCACCTTGTGAGGTGGTAGAAGAACCTAGGACTAGAGCTCAAGAGCGTAAGGGCAGTGTGATGATTTGAACCAGCTTCTTCCCAACATCGGTTCTCCCTTCCTCCTTCACCCCCACCGAGGCTCCCAAACCCTGAGCCTAAGAGTCTCCATCACATTAACAACCAGCAAACAAGGGGGGTGGGAAGGGGGGATGATAAATGAAATGCTACGTTTGGGTGGCAATTCTTACCAACGTCACCCAGTCACCTTGTACGGGAGACAGACGGCATAAAAAATTAATTAATAATAAATTAAAAGGGAGAAAAAAGCGACCGACTTTCCCAACCCTGCAGAGGGAGAAGGCAGAAGTCTAATCTGAGGATTAAGAAAAACTCTCGACCTGCAGATTAAACAAAAAGAAGAAAAACACAGGAAGGAAGCACTCACTTGCTGAATGTGGGCGTTGTTGGGCCCGTTGATGAATTCTTCCAGTTCGGCCAAGCGGTTTGTTTTGGCCAGAGCAAAAATGAGCTCCGTCTCCACATAGGATTCCCGGGCCTTTCTGCGGGCCATCTGCAAGTACTTCACCAGCTCTTCCCAGTTGCCTAAATGGGGGACGAGAAAAAAAAAAAGGAGGGGGATCAGCTCCTAGTCACATCGCAGAATCCATTTGTTCAGTCCCTATTCTCCGAAAAGAAGACAGGAGAGAAGGTTTTAACCACCATGGCAATGCCAGCCTCGCCGGGGCAGTGCTCAGCCAGGAATGGGAAGTTGGGGGGGGGGGGGGGAGGAAAGAGAGAGGCATCCCAGCGTGTGCAGCCCTGGCGAAATCCAAAAAGACTGAGCCATCAGTGTGCCGATTAATTTCTGCTTTAAGCTCGGGCTGTGTGTGGAATTTTATTAGGGCCAAACAGTTGCTCATTCTTGCAGAGTGGAACACAAGCTTCCCAAAAGTGGGAGGGGAGGGAGGGAGGGAGGGAGAGGGGGAAAAATAAAATCAGGTCAGCCAAACAATCCACTTCTTTGTCGTTCACTCGTTATACTGGGCATGCCTGTTCACACATCTGTTGCCGAATAAATTGTACTTCGCAAGTACACGGGCTCTTTTCCCGTTGGAGAGGCGACAACCTCTAGCCTGCGTCCAGACGTGCACAGAGAAAGGGATCTGAAGAGAGAACCGTGTCGAATGGGGGACAGTGACACTCGACGTGCATTTGCCTGGGGAAGGAGACAGGAAGAGGGGCAGCCAAAGTTCGTGTTAGAAGCCGTCTCTCATTTCAGAGGCTTTGGTCACTTTTATGATCCACGCGAAGAAAATCGAGAAAGATGGAAGAACCTGGTGGAAGGAAGAGTCAGTGGGAGCCCCCCAAGAGATATGTGGGTTCATGGTGCTCTCTGAGCTTGTTTTCTTGTAGACCTTTCGTTACCTAACTAGGCAACATCATTAATGCTACAAGCGTGGGATTTGCTCTTTATTTATATATTTGTGGCTTGCCCTGTCACTGTTGGTACGAATCTTCTTGGATTAACCTTATTAAGGGCATAAATAGTTCCAGAAGGCAGCATTTTAAGCCAAAGTCAAGAACACAGGGACAACATAACATCAAACTGACAGGAGAGAAGTTCGAAAATAACATTAGAAAGTAGGACTTCACAACAAGAGGAAGCTTGGAACCAACTCCTACCAGAGGTCGGTCAGTCAGTGAGTTTAACATGCTTGTGATAAAACACATGTCACATCATCAGACAAAAAAAATAAAAAATAAAGGCATAAAAATATTTCAAAAAGAATAAACACACAAATTAAAAAGAAAACAATAAAAAACTCAAAGGGCAGACTTGATGGACTCCAGGGGTCTTTTTCTGCCATGAGTTTTCTATGATTCTATATATCAGTGGCTTGCCCTGAAAGTGTTGGTGGGCATGGTCTTGAATCAAGACTGTGGTTTAATGTTTGTTTGTCTGATAATGGAAGGTCTACAAATAATTCACCAATCTCAGAGAGCACCAAGGACCCCACAAGTTCAACCCTGAGCTACAAATACAGGTCGTCTTCAACTTACAACAGTTCATTTAGTGACCATCCAAAGTTACAATGGCACTGAAAGAAATGACTTATGACCACTTTTTCACACTTATGACTGTTGCAGCCACCCTTTGGTCACTTGATCAAAACTGAGTCCCTTGGCAACTGACTCGTATTTATGATGGTCGCAGTGGGGTCATGCAATCCCCTTTTGTGGCCTTCTGACAAGCAAAGGCAATTATTGTACCCTGTGACTATCATTAAGTGTTGTACCTAATGATTCTTGATGAATGTATCTTTTCTTTTTATGTACACTGAAAGCATTTGCACCAAGACAAAGTCCTTGTGTGTCCAATCACACTTGGCCAATAAAGAATTCTAATTCTAAAATTAGGGAAGCCAGATTCACTTAACCAACCGAATTATTAACAACTGCAACGATTCGCTTAACAGCAGTGGCAACAAAAGTCGTAAAATGGGGCAAAACTCGCTTCACAAATGCCTCGTTTAATTAAGGCATAAACGTTGGGCTCAGTAGTGGTCGTACATCGAGGACTACCTGGATTCTCTTCTAGCGAGACTCTGCACAAATGTACAGATTCCGCTTCCAGCTCAGCCTCTCCCAACTGCTGGCTGAGAGTCCAGATTTTGTAAACATCAGATTGAAAAAGCTTGTCATAGCAGAGCCTTTTGCTCTCCATGGGAAACACCGCATAAAGGTTGTGTGTCATGCCCTTGTTGGAGTCCGATTCTGAGGGGGAGATTGAGCAGCTGACAGGGAGTGGGAGTGTGGATCCAGTGGCTGTGGAAGAAACGGGGGAAGGGCAAGGTCTGGCTGGGCATTCAGAGGAAGACCCAGGGCCATCCCCTCTTCATCCTAGGGCACACAGGGAGGAACGGAGAAGGGAGCAACGTGGCTTACGGGAGAGGAAAGGGCCCTGATCCCCTTCATGGGCTGCAGCTGGGAAGACTGTTTAAAAGGGCAAACTGCACATTGCAAAGTTGGTGGAAGCAAAGTGTGCATTATTTTTGTCGAGGCTTATCTAGGTTTTGGCGTCCTCCCAACTGTGGGTGCTGCGTTATCTTTTGGAAGTCTGCAATTTATCATCCTGGCCTGTCGTGTTAATTACTTCAGCATGGTTTGTGTTGGTTTTTTTATTTCTAATTATCTTTACTTTGGACTGCATTTCTTTCCTTCGTAGACTGTTTTTTTGGAAGAGTTTGATCTCCAGCCGAGGATAACTGGACATTGGGGACCAAGTTGGAGGCATTAAAGGGAATTTATCTACTTTGGTGGCTTTGATATTTTTGTGCCACCCCCGGGTCATCACATGGTGTTTGACCTCATGGTGGGGGGAGGTGGATGTGGCCAGAGGTCACTCGTGTTGGGTGCACCCTTCCCAGGCTGTTTTCGGCTGCAACAGCCTCCTGCAGCACTTTGCCAGAGAAAACAGCTCAGGAGGGCCGCTTCATTTTCCCTGGCAGAGGCACAGTGGGCCAGTCCTTTGCTGTTTCCAGAGTTTGCCCTATGGGCCGGATCTGGCCCGCGGGCCTTGAGTTTCCCACCCCCGACCTACAGCCATGGGAGTCACATTTTGTGTTCTTGCGAAGGCTACTTCATGGGGAACAGGGGAGGGGGAGGAAGAAGAACAGTGCCCAATCCTTACCGCTTGCGTTGGCAGCCTGGACAACTTCCATGTAGGATGACGGATCGTCTGCTTTGATGTAGGAGTCGATGGCTTCCTTCACCATCCCTTTCTGGAGTTGGGCTTTGGCCAGCTGGCTCCACACCGCGGGCTCATTGCAACGTTCGGCAAACTCATAGGCCCGGTCCAGGTTCCCAATGTGCTCAATCAAGACCTAGGAAAAGGGAGAGCGATAACTGTCAACTAGAGTCTCGCGAAGGTGGACTTGATTATAAAAAAAATCCGAAAGAGCAGGATAAGACCTGACTTTAAGATTTTTTTTTTAAAAAAATATGTCTGTGACTCTCAACCTGTGGTCTGTGGACCCCTCAGGGGGCTGCGTATCAGCCCCGGATCTCCAGATGGCCAGCGGCTGCCATTCAGGCGGGGTAGGAACGCCCAGCTGAGAGGCACGCGCAGGCGCACTGCTGGCCATGCTGGAATCCAATGAGATAGTCTGCTGTGCCTACCAGGAACTAGAGAGGCTCCTGCATTCAAGCTGAGAGGCGCAGAAGTTAGCAGCTGATTGTCAGAGAACAGCTGATTCTCGGAGAAATCAAAGCTGACTGTCAGAGACACTGGGTGTGGCTAGGCTGTAGACACCGGATTGCCTGCCAGTGGAAAGGGAGGGGGTTGGAACAAGGGTGGGGCAGAGCACGATATAAAGGGTTGGTGTAGTAATCATGGTAGCATGAACTTTAACTCTTTGATCGATGGTTGCTTAGTGCCGGATCTGCATTTTGCCAGTAAACCTTATTGCATCAACCTGTGTTGCTGGTCTTGTTCACGCGGGATGCCGGAATGTGACACTGTGATGCCATCGTGTGTGTGTGTGTGTGTGTGTGTGTGTGTGTGTGTGTGTGTGAAGGCTTGGAAAAAAAGTCATGATTTAAATCTTGATTTTTGGGGGACCGTGGCCCCAACGTATATGTATTTAAAATGGGCTCATCGTAAAGAAAAGGTTGAGAACCATTGAACGACATCATTAGCCAGCCAGATAGGCACCTCAAGCAAAGACGCTCGGAACCAAGTCCGCTTAACATATGTGGGTGAAGAAAGGGGCCAAACAGATTCCAGCCCCATCTCGGAGCTTTTTGGGTCCTCTGAGTACAGTACTCTACTGAGTAGAGTACCAAAGATGCTTTATTAAAAGGCAACTGGACTTTGTTGTTTTCCTTGAAGATGTTTCGCTTCTTATCCAAGAAACTTCTTCAGTTTTGACTGAATGGTAGAGGATGGAAGGATTTATACTCCTTGCAGTCATCTGGTCGTTAGCATTCTCTCTGAGAGTCGTTGAACTTGCAGATTTTATCTGTGCCCTTACGGTCACCTCAACAGTGCAAATAGGTGTGGAGCCTTCTTGGAACTGCTGAAAGGACTGTGTTGTAAACAGGAGATAGGTGGTGTCATATCCCTCCCCCCTCTGTTGAGAGGGGGCTGTTCAGTCTTAATGTAGATGGGTCTCTTTGATCCCTCTTTCAAACCAGTGGGCCTCTTTGTCCAGAATGTGGGTTTTTCCATCCTCCACCTCCAAGTGGCCTCAACGACTCTCTAAAAGGATGCAAATGACCAGCTGTCTGCAAGGAGTATAAATTCTTCCATTCCCCACTATCTAAGTCAGAACTGAAGAAGCTATTTGGATGAGAAGCGAAAACGTCTTCAAGGAAAAAAAAACAAAGTCCAATTGCCTCTTGAAAAAGCACCTTTGAGGAAGCCATGACCTGGATGACTGAGTAGAGTGATGATGATACATAGTTTGGTGATGAAATGTCTGCAAGAAAACTACAAAGCCCAACAGAGTACCAAGGACTCCGCAAAAAAGACGGCATCATAAATGCTAACTTCAGCAAAGACCCGATGGGTTTTAGAGGCGCACCAGGAGATGGCCGAAGATAAAAGCCACTTTTAGACATCGTCGGCACATCGAATTCAGTTCTGAAGGGCCGAGGTTACCTGGATGGCAGAAGTGTTAACGTCAAATTTCCTAAAGATGGCAAAGGCTTCTTCAAAGAGCTCATTGCTGATGGCGATGTTGGCGATGTCAGGAGCATCATAGTTATCCAGGCGATTGATGTATTCCATGACCCGGGTGCGATCGGCCTTGATGGCTGTCAGAATGAGGAGGTTCTGGAGATTCCTTTAAAAAAAAAAAAGCAATAAAAATGCAAATGGATCATCATCATAAGCTGGAAACTTGCTGCACTTTAACAAATTTAAGACGTACGTGGACTTCAACTCCCAGAATTCTGGGAGTTGAAGTCCACACATCTTAAAATTATCCAAGTTTGGAAACACTAATTTAGAGATCACTGGTCTTATCTCTGGTTTGTCTACTTTTAAGATTCTGAATAGTGAAAAGAAGAAAGTCACTTCTCCATATACAGGTAGTCCTCAACTTACAACTGTTCATTTAGTGACCATTCAGGGTTACAAGGGAAGTGGAAACAGTGACTTAGGACCGCTTTTCAGAGTTACAGCCTTAATCCCCAGGAACGTGTGATCAAAATTCAGAGGCATTGCAACCGGTTCATACTTATGACCATTGCAGTGTCATGTGACCTCCCCTTCATGTCCTTCTGACAAGTAAAGTCAATGGGGAAGCTGGATTCGCTTAACAACCACAGTGATTCACTGAACAACCATGGCAAGAAAGGGTCATAAAATGGGGCAAAACTCACTGAACAACCGACAGAAACTTTAGCCTCAATTGTGGTTGTAAGTCGAGGACTACCTCTATGCAGGCATATAAAGACTGAAAGACAGGTAGGAAGGTGGGTAGACAAAACCTATGGACAGACAGAAAGACTCACAGACACGCAAAGGACCAACCTGTGTTCGCTGAACACGGAATTATCCAGGACAATTTTCTCCAGCAGTTCAATAAGTTCATTCGGGAGGTCGGCGGTCATGAAAGCCTTGACGGTAACTGAGACCTCTTCGGGATCCTGAGTCTCAGAGAGAGCTGTCTGCACAACCTGCCAATCAAAGAGGTTGCAACGGTCAACCAAGTATTGCTTATTTCAAACTCATCCCACGTGAAAGCAAACCCAGGGGCATCAAAGCACATACCTGGTCGATGAGGGGCCGCCGGTAAGGGTTGCTTTCCAACAGCACGCTGGCCCACAGTTCTGGATCCTTACGGCGCACCAGGTAACGGGACAGGCTCTTGAAGAGTGAATTCTCATTGCAGACCTGGAGGAGAAAGGGGTTGACACAATAAGGGTGAGGGCCTCCTTTGGTGGGGGAAGGTACAAAGTTTCACAGTACCAATGGCAGAGAATCCCAAAGGTGCTTTTTTCAAGCACCTTTTTTTCAAGAGGCAACTGGACTTTCTGGTTTTTCCTTGAAGACGTTTAGCTTCTTATCCAAGAAGCTTCTTCAGTTCTTCTGCTGCTGGAGAAGCGAAACATCTTCAAAGAAAAGCCAAAAAGTCCAATTGCCTCTTTAAAAAGCACCTTTGGGACAACCCTGACCTGCATGGCTGAGAAGCTCCATAGACAAATGGAAGAGAATATTTATAGTTCTGGGTTGGAAGATGCTCTCTGAGCTTGGCTGTTTTCTTACGGATATTATAGTTCATTGCCAAAGTAGGTAGCGTCATCATCCTCTAACATTGATGATGCTACCTAGTAATGAAACATCTGCAAGAAAATCCACCAAGATCAGAGAGCATCAAAACCCCCAAAGTTTCATGACTCGATTTCTGAAAGCTGAAAAACAAAGGGGGAAAATAAACCTGCTGGAATTTTAACTAGTTTTGGAACAGGCTTTTCCTACAGGGCTCTGAGCAACTCAGTTCCCCCAAATGTACAAACCATGGGTAGCAATGGCTTCACGAGCAAGCTTAAAAGGGCCACAAAGAATGTTTTTTAAAATAGGGTCTTTACAAAATGTACAATCACTGAGGCCATTATCAGCGCATGGGACCAACTGAAGAGAACATTTGTAGCTCAGGTCTCAATTGTGGTCGTAAGTCGAGACTCCATATACCAG